GAACTAATTAACTGATTACAACAAAATAATAATAATCAATCAAAAACAGGTAAACAAGTTATTACAATCAACATTATCAGAAATAGGATTTTATAATATAACTAATCGACGAACTTAATCGAGTCGATTACACACATTGTAAATAATCACAACAAACAGAGACATTGTTATAATTTGATCACATAAACGGGTATGAGACAGAATCACAGAATCAACTAAACAAATATGAAAAATTACACAAGCTACTGAAACAGGCAACAATATACACGTAGGAAACAAAAAGAAGTAGAAAAATACCTCTGAATCTTCGATCTTACACAGACAAAAACTCAGCTTTGGAATCGGACCTTTTGAGGCTGAACAGACTTTATTCGAAATATTCTCAATTGAGAATACCTCGATTAAAGTCTCTTAGACCTCAATCCCTCACTTAATTCGGACAAATTCTACGATTGGAATTTTTAGGGTTTCAGATTTTTTTGATCTCAAATTCGAACACTTCTAGATATGTTCGAATCAAACCAGTGGTGTTCTAGGCACAAGGGAGGTCCGGTGGATAACTGGTGTGAGTTTGAGTTGAGTTGGGGTAGGGTTAGGTTTCACTCGAATCTTCAAATGAAGATTCGAGCAGTTCCAGGAGGATTCGAAGTCAACGAACAACAGATCCGTAATGAGGGTAGTTAGGGGAAGCTATGGTGTTAATTTGGAAGTCATCGGATAAAGTTGGGGTTTTCAGACCAACCTTCGATCGAAGATTCGAGATCATGTGGTCTGATTCGAGAGAAACTAACACCAGATCCGTAAAGAGGGGGTTGTGAGGAGTTTAGGGTGTTAAGGTGGGATTGTTTGGACCACCGGAACCGCCGTGAGGCGATTTCCGGTGGGCGGTGCACGGTGGTGGACGGTGGAGTTCATCTGATCTCTTGAAAGAGATGATGAACAGGACAGGGGGTGGGGTGTTTGGTTTGGGGGGCTGGGGTAGGATTTAGGCTTTTATAGGGGTGGGGTGGATTGATCTTGACCGTCAGATCAAACATGATCCACGGTCAAGATTAAATCACTTAGCCAAACGATGTCGTTTGGTTTAAGTTGGGGGAAAGGGGTCAACCCGGGCAATGGATCGGGTAGGGGTTACGGGTTAGGGTGTGGAATATCAGCCGTTGGATTGATCTAATCTAACGGCCCTTGATGAATGATAACCAAACGTCGTCGTTTGTTTTGGTTTTGAATTGGACCGGACCTGGGGTGTTTGGAGTGGGTTGTGGAGTTATTTTGTTTGGGCCTGGATTTCAGTCCAGGTCCGATTTTTACATTTATAACTTATTTTCCACTTCCTAATTTTATTTCTAATTATTAAATTCCTAATTTTAATTATAAAAACAAAATTAACCTTACAAAACATTAATCACCTTTTAACAAACATTAACACACAAGATAAATTATTAATCACACAATGGCATATTTAAATGACGAACAAATAAGATAAATGCATATTTTTTGTGATTTTTCCCTTTAATTAACTCTTAAATGCATAATTAAATCCTAGATATGCATGCAACATGTATTTTATTTTATTTTTGTTTAATTATAACAAAGCAAACATTTACGGACAAAACACAAAATAATTAATAAATGCCACATAAATCCTAAAAATTGCACACTAAGAGAATTTTTTTTTTGTTTTATTTTTTGATTTATTTTAGAGTAGTTTTCGTGAGGCAAAAATCACGTGCTCACACCGGTACCGAGGAAACATGCCAATCCAGCCTCATGGAGAAGATCCATCTCCATACCAAGGGAAGATCCATACCTAATGTAATCAAGTACTTCGGACAAATCTATGTCCAGGGAAATCCATCCATCAATAATATCATCCCTCACTAGGGATGTGTAGACTCCGGAGGAGCTCCTTCAGCCTAAGCGCTATAACAAGCCAACGAAGGCATAATAAATAATCTGCTGTGGCGTGCAGCCCGATCCCATAATTGTCACTCATAATCAAGCTCTCGGCCTCACTCAATCTTCAATATCTCCAGTATCACCCACGGGCTCACAATGTCATAAAAACTTCCCCTGAACAATGATATGATGTATCAATAAGTAATAATTGAGACTGAGATATGATATGAATGCATGAATATGACTGAGTACAAAATATCAATAAATTCAATGAGATGACAACAAGAAACGATCACTATGGGTCCCAACATTATCAGCATAAAACCTAAACATGATATCTAGCATGATGTACAACTCATTTATCTTATCACATGGTGAAAACACAAATATCAATAAAATAGGGCCACTATTCAGTGCCCTGGAAACAACAGAGTCACAGCTCACAGGGTACACGCCCATACGCTCGTCACCTAGCATGTGCGTCACCTCAACACCAATCACATAATACATAATTCGGGGTTTTATACCCTCAGCACTAAGTTTAGAAAGGTTACTTATCTTAAACAAGCCAATTCCGACACCGAGCAAGCCAAGCTATGCTCCAAGAATCCCATCACACGCGTTCCGACTTCTGAATGACTCGAAACTAATCAACAACAACTCAAATACATCAAACAATGCTAAAGGAACCAATCTAATGGAAAAAGGTCGAATCTTTACTCAAAAGCCCAAAATCGACCATAAAGCCCAACCCGGGCCTGCACCTCAAAACCCGACAAAACTCACAAAAACTATCAACCCATTCAATTACAAGTTTAACTATACCAGTTTCACTCAAATCCGACTCGAATCGATGTTCAAAACTCAAAAAATTATATTATGAAACTTTAGGCCAAACCCCCAATTTCTTCTTTAAAATTCAACAACCAAAAGCTAAAATCGAAGATAGATTCATAAAATATAACCAAAACCGAGTAGAGAACACTTACCCAATTCATATGTTGAAAAGCGCCTCGAAATATCGCCAACTTCCGAGCTCCCCAACTCAAAATATGTTAAATGCACAAAACTCTCGTTTTAACACTGTTCTGCCTCAATTCTTGTGCCAAAATATCTCAAAACTCATTTTTGATACTTCCAATGGATTTCTTGTAAAATTCTAGTCAAGTTAGGCTCTTGAATCACTCCATTTAACCTTATATTGAAGGAGATATGTTGGTTTCAATATTTGGAAATAGTGCAAATTTTTAAATATGCAGCAGTGGCAATTTCGTACTTAATCTGAAAAATCTAGCAACCTAATTCTTAGTAAAATGACCATAAAATCCTCATACGATGTCCAAATTTGATGATTCTTTTTGCTATAGCTCTGTAATTACGATACGGATCTAATGCTTCAATAAAAACAGAAATCAAAGCTCATTTGTTCAATGTGGTACCATTTATGCTTGAAGAAACGACATCGAAATATAAGAAAAACGAGCGCAACACAACCCAACCAATCCGAAACTCACCTAAGCCCCTCGGTACCCCATCTAAGCATACAAAAAAGTTCTACTATCATAATACAGACCTACTCGAGGCCTCAAAACACACATAACAATATCGAAACGATGAAATGCACCTCAAATCAAACTTAATGAACTTTCGAACTTTCGACTTCCAAAAACTCACGCCGAAACATATCAAATCAACTCAAAATGAACCCAAATTTTGCACACAAGTCCTAATACATCATACGAAGCTACTTGTGCCCCCAAACTACCGAGCAAAGTGCAAATTTCTCAAAATGACCGATCAGGTCATTACAGTAAAATTACAACATAACATAAAATAAGCTTCAACATAATTTAAATAAATATATTCCAAAGAAAAGGAAACATAAGCTTATAACCTCATTTAACAATGAGATTCAACTTTAGCCGCATCACTCATTTTATGCTATGCTTCTTAATAATTTATTAATTCTAATATTAGGAGGAGCAGTTTTAAAACTAGAATAATAGCACAATTATGCTAAATGAAAAAGATAAAAAATATGAGCAACTATATGGAATCACAAAAACTAAAAGTTGAAAAATGAGAATATCATTTAAATATTAAAAAGTGATATATCATTTTAACATAGTTAAGTTTGTATATAATTCTATCCCATAACAAAGTTTAACTTTATGACATCACTCATTATAAGTAGAGTTTGTGGGTGATTTATTATTTCTAAGATTACGAGGTATAATTTTTATAAAAATTAGAATTATAACATAGCCAAAGTGTAATAAAAAATAAAGAAAAATAATTAAAAATGAAATAAAATATAAAAAACTATGTAGAAACATCTGAAGTAAAGATTGGGAAATGAGAAATGAGGAAATAAAAATAAATAATATAAAAATAATATTTGAAAAAAAATTTAACGTTAAAAAAATAAACTAAAAAGAAAAAAAAGAGTAGGAATAAAAAGTAAATTAAAAAGAAATTGAAAACCTGGTAATTACATTATGTAATTACTAGCAATTCTCAGCTCCCCCTTTAGAATTATAGAATATAATTACACCCCTCCAATTATATCCACTTACATGTTGACTAAGTAATTATTTAATTAGACAAATATGCCAAAACAGTATAATTACACCCAAATCCAATTATAGGATGACTTTCCAAACAAGCTCCCAAAATAAGTACTCTCTCAGTTCCGATTTATGTAAAATTTCCTTTTTAGTCTGTTCCTAAAAGAATGACAATTTTCTAAATTTGGAAATAATTTAGATTAAACTTTCAATTCTACCCTTAATGAGAAGCTTTTATAACCACACAAATACTCTAAACCCTCTTTTGAGTTGTTTAGGATTATATATTTTAAAAAAAGTTATTTTTTCTTAAATTTTGTACCCAGTCAAAAAAATTCACATAAATTAAAACACGGATATAGTAATAATTTTATTGTTGAGAAAGGAGGTGAGAAGTGGAGGGGATGGGTGGGGGAGGGGTTCGTGGTCATTTCTGGAAGTCCAGCTGGTAGGGTCAGAGTCTGCCCATAGCTTTTGTCCTGTTCACGTTTGGCCTTCAAGTCTTCAACTCCTTTTTACCCTCGTTATAATCACCCCAAACAACAAATCATTCTCTTCATCATCACACACACACTCTCTCTCTTTCTTCTCCCCCTAAAGGAAAGGCGAAAGTCTTGGGGGATAAAAAGATAAGAGACAGAGAGGAAACTACACAAATAAGCAACAAAAATACAACTCCTAACAATCAAGAAAGGGAGCTTTTCTATTGTGGGGAATGTTGTCTGGCTCGAGGAATCTTTAATCTTGATCAAATTCTTTACACAGATCTATCATTATATATGTTTTATATATTTTTTAGATCTTATATAGATCTATAATTGTTAGTTGTTAGACCTATGAATTTTGATCATATTTTTTTGCGTCGTCGGACCAGGCTTCATTCCCCTCAGAGATTGCTGCCATATATTAGTATCGCGATTAAGATCTTTTTTGGTATATAAATAAGGTGAGGCCCATGTTTAAGTTCTTTTTATTTTATTTGTTTGTCACTTATAAGTGCTATATTCAACATTTGGGACAAATTTGTACTTGTTTATTAACCTATTTTGGTATGTCCGTTATGTATCTGCAGATTGGTGTAATGATAAGGATCTTGACTTTAGTCTTTGAGTTCTGATTCTCATTTTTCATCATTACAACCTTTTTACATACTCTGTGTTTCATAACCTTAGGTTTCTTTTGTCAGTAAATAAGACATACTCCCTCCATTCCAGTTTATGTGAACTTATTTCTTATTTGATCCGTTCCAAAAAGAATGACTCATTTCTAAATATGAAAACAATTTAGCTTAAACTCCCAATTCTACCCTTAATGAAAAGATTTTACAACCACACAAATACTCTGGACCCCTTTTTTACTTGTTTAGGACCACAAATTACAGAAGTATTCATTTTTTCTTAAACTCTATGCCCAGTCAAACAAGTTCACATGAATTGAAACAGAGAGGCAGTACTTTTTTTTCATCATTGTGTTATGATTGTAGAATGATGGCTTTTTTGGTCTTTTTCTGCAAAATTTTCTGATCTGTTTTCTGGCTTTCTACTTTGCTCAATACCCTTTCTTCTTTTAATTTTCTGCACAAAGGTGCGCGCACACACACTAGATGGGATTAATCTTATCGAGATGCTATGTTTATGAATAACTTAACCATTTTATCTAACTTGTTTTACATTGCCATGTCTTAATGATTTACTTTGGTCAACTGAAGCACGCGTGAGTATTTATTTAGATCTTACGATACTCGGTGCATTAAGCTCCGGGTTTATTGTAGGCAGTCTTATCTTATATTTCTACAGGAGGTTGTTTTCATGGCTTGGACGTGACTTCCTGGTCACACGGCGATTCCCTGGACGTTACCTGTTACGCCAAGATTTATTGTATTACCTATATGACCATAAGCTTTTATTCCTCAAGTTTACATTTTATTACTGTATTGCCAGACTAATGAGTTTTGTTTGTGTACTGCTGGTGTAAAGTCTATATGTGCATTGGCTTCAAGTTTAGGCTTGTTCTTGAATATGAAACAGACTCACATAAGTGGTGCTTTTTGCAGTTTTATCGTCAACTCGAAGGCACATGTAACAACTGATTGATCTATTGATTAATCTTATATTCATTCACAGTTAATCATTTACACTATCAGTATAAATTAACTTGTTTTAAAAATGCTACACTTGTCTTATTTTGCAGGTTCTTAACACCATTGACTATGGGTAGCTTTAAATACAAAAAATTATTATACTTTCAATGTGAAAAAGTTAACCCTGAGAACACTACTTCTAGCGGTTGTATATGGAAAAGTATTTGCTACTATATTTTTGTTGCTATGATGCAGTACTGTTGAGTACTTAGTGATTGTTTTTATTTGTTTGTAAACAGGCCTAGGTTTAATTATTCTTATAGCTCTTAGGTTTGAGTTGGGAAAACAAGAGAGGAAAGTCATTAATGAATACACTGAAAAACATCTGACTGGAAATGAAGTGGTCTAAATGAATGACATAAAAAGGTGAGAGGTAGACATCCTGCTAAGAAAAAAGATAAGCTATGTAGACCTATAGGAGAGATAACAACAATTAAGTGTAGGCTTTCGACTACTTCCTGCATATTAAGAAAAACCAAAACAAAGTTCATTAAGAATCTAAAAAACCTAGATTTCTGAAGTAGTAATAACTCAGTCACATTTAAATCATTAATGATGAATGTTTCAAGAAATTATGCAGTCATCTGGTAAATTGGTGTTTATCGCAATATTTGAATGTAAGCGCATTGCCGGCTCTCATGCTCTTTCAGCAACACCAAAAGGTGCATCATGAAGGACAGTTCGGTGCATCATGAAGTATTTGCGTCCACACAGAGTTCGAGGAAGAATCGCATCCTAAAAAGTGATGTAAGTGACCTACCCTAATGCAAGTATCAATGACTGATTTGACCACCTTTGAACCATCAGAAATTGTTAGAAGTCTTGGTGATTTTGAATCTTTTTGACTTTACAAGCTTGAAAGTGGGAATGTTAGCTTTTGTGTTACTAGTTTTTTACACCACATACACACCCGCAAAGAAAGTTAGCTCGATTTTGATGCATGAATGGTCCATTCGTTGACTATTTACTGTACATTGTTTGGTGCATTAAAGAAAAGCTTTGACACTATAACATATAAACTGTGCCTGTACCCATTAGTTGCAGCATAAAGGGATACTGATCTATCAATACACTGGGGAAAATCACTTTAATTCTTACTTTTATTTTTTTTATTCAAGCTAATACCAAAGCTATGGGATGTTTGGCACGATCCCTACCTGTAATATTTTATTATACCGTAAAAAAGATACATGGAGGACATAAACCTTAACTTTTAGCATCCAAGATGAGATGAAGAATGAGAGAACCCATTCTTGTACGTTGTGCAATATCAGCAATAATTAAAAGGAAGAGGACTACTCTTCTTTTTTAGAATTTTGTTTAATAATTAGAAAGATCAACACCATTCTCATATAGTTATGGTAGATATTAGCCATCATCAAAAAGGAAGTGACCAGAATGAAACTATAATACCCACTAAGATATTTGGTTGGCGTTTGGACAACATTTGGTTAAAGCTGAAAAAAAGGTATTCGAAGTTAAAATTATGTTTAGATATATATTTTACCGTAAGATATAGTTAAACAGTAGTGAGTAAAAACTATCATTTCACTTAAAATACTTAAAACAAGTTTATCAATATTCCACTAGTATGCAAATAATGATGGACAACTCAGAATTTGCAATATGAAAGTTTTCGTAGTAGTATGTTAAATGTCAAACTTTGGTCTTCGACAAATATATATAGCTGTATAGAAGACTTCTATTGTATTTCACCATTTAACTTCGAGAAGCTGTTTCGCTGTTGCCTTTGAATAATTCAAGTACTTTCGATCAATGGCTTAGTCAGAAATTTCACGAAGAGTATTCAAATTTTGAATAAATAAGTAATTTTTTTAATGAATAGGTGCACCAAAAAGTTTAACATAAATTTAGCTAAATCATAAAAACACTTGTAAAATGTAACGGCCGATAGATCATTTTGCGTACCAGTCTTAATTTCTGTGTTCCGAGACCTCTCATAACTTCATTTGATGTTTATTAATTTGCGTGCATAGTCCATGTCGTTTTCCAGAAAGCGTTTACATAAAATTTTGAAGAAAAAGTGATTTTTTACTTAAAATAAGGCTTGAGTTGACCACTATCAACGTTTGTGGTAAACGACTTCGGATCGGTATTTTGACGACTCCCATAGATTCGTATGATCTTTTTGGACTTGTATGCTCGTTAGGTTGGGGTCCGGGGTGACCCGAGCGCGTTTCAGCACATTATGTGAAAGTTTCTGAAAAATGAGTTTTCATGTTAAATATCTTAATTTTTGATGATCGATTCTTGTTATTTAATGTTATTTTGATGTAGCGAGCGAGTTTATATGATATTATTACACGCGTGTGCATGTTCGGTGTAATGATACAACCGGTCGTTTTGAGCTTTAACATTCCATTCAATGGTCTAAGACTTTGAGTATCTTTATAAGATGTATTATGACTTGAGTGTATCGTCGGTTTTGGTTTTCAAGTGGTTCGGGATTGATTTTGAAGAATGACTCTTTATTTGGAAGCTTTAAGTTGGAAGAGTTGACCAAGGTTTGACTTTTGGGTAAACAGACTCGAAATCAGGTTTTGATTGTTCCGATAGATTCGTATGTTGATTTTGAACTTGAATGTATATTCAAATTTGATTTTGGAAGTTCCTAGAAGAATTCGACACTATTTGTCGAAAGTTGGTAATTTGAAGAACTTAAGAGTTCATAAGTTTGACCAAGAGTTGGCATTGATGTTATTATACTTCAATTGGTGTTCTGAGACTTTGGATAGATTTATATAGTTGAACTGAACTTGTGTGCAAAGTTTGTAAGTAATCTGAAGTGTTTAAATGTGATTCAGACACTCTTTTGAATTTTTTAAATATAATTTTCCATAGGTTGAGATTGTTGTATTACTTCAAAAGACATTGTCAATGATACAACACAAAGGTAAAAATTACCCTTTCAAAACATAGGTGGCGAGGTGATAACAAGAACAGATTCACATGCCCCAAACAAAAGCTCCTAGCTTACAAAAATATTGGCCTTGTCATAATTAATTCTAATGCTTGGAATTTGGCTTTTGTCCAAGTGAAATGGCCTTTGGCTGCTTTAGGGAGCTGCTGCCCAGAAAAGAAAAATGCTCCAGTTTGTGCTTTTGATGCCATTTTTGTCAAAATGTCCACTAGTTGGTTAGCTTCTCTATAGCAATGAAGAATGTCAATATTAGATGTACGCCTCAGTCGAGCTATTTTCTCTGTGATCATAGCCATTTTGTAGTTGCTCTCTGTCTCCTCCTTTTAGCAAATCAACATGTATTAGGGAGTCAAATTCTAGAGTGAAATATGTATAGTCATTCTCAATGCACCAGGTGATGCCAAAAAGTGCTGCATTTTGCTTCCGCAATGTTATGGTTGTTGCATCTATAAGGGACCGAATAGGCCATGATAATTTCACCACTGTCATTTCTTTAAACACCTCCCAAGCCGACGCTCCCATCTATCTTGGTGAAGCTTCTATCCGTGTTAAGCTTCAGTCTACCCGTCATAGGTTTTTGCCATTGCACGACCATAAAACTTTGCTTGGGATGTAACCTTACAACTGTGTCACATGGCCTGTTCCAAGGCATTTGAAGGTCACACTTTAGATATGCTTTGTGGAGAGCAGCTTTCACATTCCAACTGATTTGTTGCTGCAGCTTATATAAGTTGAATTTTTTCTGTTCACCATACCTGCATGCACAATATTCTTTCCACAGCACCCAACATATAATAATGAGGGTAATATTTAAAACCTATTTATGAACAACATTTACAGACCTAGTATTTCACCAATTATTTAAGATATTTCTAATAGGGTGGGGGTGATAGCTAATGCTAAGTTGAGATCCAAATAGTTTCCAAGCATATATCCTTCAACAAAAACATGGTGCATATTTTCATAGATAGGGTTCTCACAGTAGTTACACCTAGAAACAATTTGTTTCCCAAATCTAGAAATAACTTCATCAAAGGGGAGCTTTCCATTCCAAAGACTCCAAATCAAACAAGACATGTTAAAAGGAACACTAGGATTCCATAACTTACCTATGAGGTGTTGTTTAGGTTTAGAGTTTCTTACCAGATGCCAAGCTGACTTGTTGGAATATTTTCCATTCTCCGTAAGATCCCAGTAGATTTTATCTTCTTTATCTTGGCTTCCAATGTCAATGCTAAGGATATGATTGATCAGATGTTCAGGAAGAACATCATTCAGCTTATTGACATCCCACCTGCCTTCTGAGATGAATTCATTAACCAAAGTTTTATGACTCTTTCTAGTGGCATTAACTAGACCCTCAAGGTGACCTTTTAAGGTCCAATTATCCCACCATAAGCTACTAAAACCAGAGTTAATATGCAAGATCATGTCATTTTCGGCCGTGTTTCTTATCTTAAGGACATATTTCCAGACATGAGAGTTACTGGCTGCCCATTGTTTCGAGACCAAGTGAGATCTAATATAATATTTGCTCCTAACATATGTTTCCTAAAGAGATGATGTGGACATAATCCTTCACCATCTCTTTATAGCCAACACATCACTGATATCTTGCAACCTACGCACATCAATGCCACCCTCATCAGTAGGCGCAAAAAGGTTATTCCAGGAGCTCCAATAATACTTGTTGTGCTCAGATGAAGTACCTCAAAAGAAATTAGCAAAATATTTTTCAATTAATTTAAATGTGGTTTTGGGGGGGGGGGGGGGGGGGAGGAGGGGGACATAGCGGATAGAGTGTAAATAGGCAGCGATTGAAGGACACTTTTAATCAACACATGCTTACTACCATAAGATAAGAGTTTTCCCTGCCAACCATTGAGTTTTTTCACAATTTTACTAATTAAAGTGTCAAAGTATTCTGCCTTTTTCCTACCCACATAGAGTGGGCAGCCAAGGTAAGTGAGAGAAAAGTTTTTATCCATAAAACCAGAACACTTCCTAATTTTATTAATCCTTTTAGCAGCAGTCTTAGGAGCAATGAAGAAAAAACTCTTGTCTCTATTAACTAGCTGACCAGAACTTTCCTCATAGTTACTAATTTGCTTCAAAACAAGTTTAATAGATTTAGAATTAATGCTATAGAAAATAACAATATCATCTTCATAAACTAAGTGATTAACTTTAGGGACCTTATCATGCATAGAGAAAGGAATAAAGTCAGAGTGATTGTACAAGTTATTAAGGGATCTGGAAAGAACTTCAGCAGCTATAATAAACATGGTGGGGGAGAGAGGATCATCTTGTTTAAGGCCTTGAGATGATGAGAAAAAACCATGCCTAGACCCTTTAATAATGACCGCATACCACACATTAGAAATCAAGTTATGAATCATATTAGTCCACTAATTAGAGAACCCAAATTTTCTTAACTCTGAGAGGACAAAAGGGCCATGACATTCTATCATAGGCTTTAGCCATATCTAGCTTAATGACAATATTCCCACCCTTGTTCTTATCAGAAATGTTGTGAATAATTTCTTGAGCTAATAACACATTTTCATAGATTAGTCTATTCTTCACAAAGCCACTTTGATTAGGAGAAACTAATTTATGCAATAAGAGGTTAAGTATTAAAGAGAGAATTGAAATGATTTTGTTAAAGAAGTTAGACAAACTAATTGGTCTAAAATCTGAAAAACTAGGGGGAGAATCAATTTTGGGAATCAAAACTAAGCAAGTATGAGAGAAGAATTTAATCATATCTCTATCACAAAAGCAACAACATCCTTTTTGATGATTTCCCAGTAGCTGTGATAGAACGCTGCGTTATATCCTTCTGGACCAGCAGTGCTCTCAGCACTAAGGCTCATAATAGCATTTTTGATTTCCTCTTCATCAGACATCTAGTTGAGATTAGCATTATCCCACTCCATGTTGCATTTTGGGATACATTCCAAAATATTAGGATTGAAATTTAGCTATGGAAGATTGATTGTGCCTTGAAGTGTCTAACTACTGCTTTAGGAATTTTCTCATCCCCCATAATCCAATTACCCTTGTGATT